TTCAATCTATATGCTGAGCAAATTATTTGAGAAACTGGGCTCTATGAAGAATGTGGCATCAGGATCAGAGGAAGACTCATCAATAATCTATGTCATCTATGCAGATGAAACAACCTTGCTTGCTGAAAGTGAAGATGATTTGAAAGACTTATTTCAGAAGATCAAGGACTACAATTTTCAATATGGATTACATTCCAACATCAAGAAAACAAAAATTCTCACCACTCGACTAATAGGCAAGATCATGATACCTGGGGGAAAAGACTGAAGCTGTCAATGACTTCATCTTACCTAGATCCAAAATCAATACACTTCGTAACAAGCAGTTAAGAGATCAAGAGACTGGGAAGTCAGTACTCAGGGACTGCGAATTACTGAGAAGCAATGATGTTAGTTTGAGGACTAAGTTGCATGTGATTCAGACTACTTCAGGTCTTTTCAATCACTTGCTATGCTGCTGAGAACTGGACAATGAATAAGCATGGCAAGATGGTGAGGATGCTACAGGGTCGGACAGGATTCAGATTTGTTCACAGGGTCATTAGGAGCCATTCTTGTGGCACCTAACAAAAACAACAGTATGACTGATAATGGGCTTAAAAAGCAGAGATTATGAGGCTGGCACAGGATTGGGCAGTGTTTCATTCTGCTGTACATATCGTCAGAGCCAAATGACAGCCTCTAACAACAATGTGACTGATAGAAGCTATGATAGTGTAAAAGTGTAGCTGTTGTTGTTGAACACGACTCATAGTGACTCTATGAACATAAGACCAGAAAGAAGCCTTTCTCTTATTATCATTTATCAAAGTTCATCGAGTTTCCAGAGGCATGTAGTTTAATAAAGGCTGCTGACTGAATGGCCTATAGTCTAAATTCACCAGGTGCTTCGAGTATAAAAGATGTGGCAGTCCACTTCTGTGAGGATTTATACCTCTGATATGCAGTAATGTAATTCTACACATTAAAAAAAAAAAAAAATCTAAGAATTGGCAATGACCTGATGGATGGCAACAAATTTCTACTTGGGGGAATCTGAATGATAAATTGAACTTTAAAATTTTACTTAAATGAAATAAAAAATAAACATAAACAGTTATTTAAGTCCTACAATGTTGGCACTCAATTTTGTCCTTGGACAAAAAAAGAGTGGTCTATCATGTGAAAAGAAAATACAGGTGATTAAAAAAAAAAAGGGAAAAAGCACTGAGCCCATCATACAATGGCTTCTAGAAAAACTGACACCTAGTATTTTAATTGTATGAGGCATTCCAAGAGGAATTAATTTAAAAAAAAAAAAGGCTAGAAAGTATGAAAAGATCAGGATAGGAGGATAAAAAGTAGTTTAACCAACATTCTAGCACCAGCAGCCAGGAAATCAAAAGATGAATTGTGTTGGATGAATATGCTGTCAAGGACCACTCCAGAGTACTGAAGAGCAATGAGGTCAGTCTTGAGACTAGGACACACCTGGTCCAGGCCATGGTCTTTGCAATTACTTGCTACATATCAGAGAGCTGGACAATGACCAAAGATGACATAAGAAGAATTGGTGTCTTTCAGCTGTAGTGCTGGAGAAGAGTGATGAACATACCATGGAATAAGAAAACAAACTGATCTGACCTGAATAAGGTGAAACGAAGCTGCTCCTTGGAGGCAAGGATTTTGATGCTCCATCTGACATACATTTGCATGTTGCCGGGAGGGGCATCACGAGTCCTTGGAGAAGGACATCATGCTTAGAATGGTGGAGGGAAAATGCAGGAGAAGAATATGAGATGGAATGACACAGTAACTGGGGTTATGGGGAAAGGTGTGTCCAAGACAGTGAGACTGGCTCAGGAAAGGACAGGATTCAGAGCTACAGTGCAAAGGGCAGCTATGAGTCACAGGTAACTCAATGGTACATAAAACCAACAAGAAATAACAAAAGGGGGAAACACCACTATGAAGAGTAACTGGAAAGACAATTAGAAAGGTAAATCCAGGTTATACTTACATAAATTCCAGAAACCTGGATTTACTAAAAGAAAGTCACTCAGTAGTTAAGCTAAATGATGTTTAAAATGATGTTTGCATGTTTCTCTCATAAAAAAATCTGTTGCCACCAAGTAGAAAAGGTACTCATAGCTGACCCTCCATCAGGTTCCCAAAGTTGTAAATCATATAAGAGGTATCTGCCCATTTTTACCCTGCAGAGTTACTGGTAAATCTGAATCACCAGGTAGTTATAGCCTTTGAGTTAACAATGCAACTCCCTACAGACTACTCCACCAGGGCTCCCTCATAGATAGGATAATTAGAGAAAGGTGGGGGAAATTACAGAAAAAAATATACTCACTGTCATACTGAGTCAGTTTTGAACTACAATAACCCCAGGAAGCCCTGGTGGCTTAGTGGTAAGAATCTGTGCTGCAATCCTGGAGTCATGCAGTTCGAATCTGCCACCTGCTCCATGGGAGAATGATGGGCAATCTCATCTCATGCAATTACTGTCTCTGAAACACGCGCCCCCCCGCCCCCAATGTCAGCTAAGGGTCAAATACAACTTGACAGTACACAGCAACAGCCTTATAAACAATAGGAAAAAACATGGTTCAGTCTTGTACCATCCTAACTGAGTTTAAATTTAGAGGGAAAAATTAAACACAAAGTAGAATCATTTTAAAATTCAATACTTCAACCAGCATCCACGCTGCTAGCTGCAAGCACTGAGCCCAAAGCAAATGCATTGTCCTAAACTAAATTTCTAAGGCTTTTTCAATTCTATAAGGAAATGAGAACTGGAAAAATCCTTTCCGTTAAACTCTAGAATATGAACCTATTATTAAATAGCACTGTAAGACATATGCTGTCCTCCAAATACAAAGCCATCACTGGTGAGCAAAAACAGGTATAACACAGATACAAACCCAATTCTATATGCTAAGGAAAATAAAGGATAAAGTTCTAACAAATTAAAGAATTTAAATAATCTTCATTTATATATATATAAACTCTTCATAGGTACCACTATAGGTACACATTTTAGTTCAGTGATTTACTTAATAGTACGCTAAATATCTAATACATTTATTACAGTCATCACAACATCAAGGAAGAAGCTGTATTTATACACATGCTTTTGAGAATTTGTCAAATATATAAGTTTCTGATCCAGTTCTAAATAACTACTTTTATAAGTATTTCAGTTACATCAAATAATATTAAAAACATAGTAACAAAAATGAAAGCTAGTTTCAGTCACCAAACCCTAAAAACCTGAGTTATCTGTAAATAATATGTTTAGAACAATATGATGCTTTTTTAATAGAATGAGCAGGACTAAACAAATCTCTTCATGAAAATATATAATTCTATTTTTCCCTCTTTTTCAAGTAAATGTAAATTTTAATATCCAAAGTAAAAAAGGATTCCTTGAGGTAAATTAATTCTATTGTATCATAATACAAAAGTTCTATACTTTAAAAAAATGAATTCTAAAACAAGAAAAGAACATAACACAGAATCACTATATCCTTGAAATTATTTTAAAAGTATGTGAACAATTCATATGCTATGAGTCAAGGCAATTGGAAGTGGTTGTAGGGAAGGACAACTATATATGAGGTACAAGAAAATACCAACTTTCATGCTGGTTAAGTCTATGGGGTCAATTCAGAAAAGAAAGGATTAGAAGGAAAACAGATTCAAGTTAGTTGAAACTTTGAAAGTTAAATATAACACTATTTCTTATTAGGTGTTATAATCTCAAGGGTTTGGGGTTATGTTTTGTTTGTTTGTTTCTGCATTATGAAGGTTTATTTACAACTTGTTCATTTTCCCATAAGATTTATCAAGGTAAGGTAAGGAATAAGTAGATAAATAATAAGCCAATCATTATCACAGCATGAGTTTTTATAAACCTAGAGGGAAGAAACTGGTGAATGCAATGGGGAAAAGGTTAAGTAGTTATCTGTGCAGAAACCCTAAAGCCTTATTCCTACTTAAACTCTAAACTTCACTGTATTCTCCATCACTATTTACTTTGATAACATGGATAATATTTTTCTTCGAAAACAATTTATAATCCTTAATATTTTTTTCAAAAAGAACACTAATAAATAACAATACGTTTAAAATTAAGCATCATCTGAAAGCTGATAGAAATAGTACAATTAGTCACATTTTGAGTTTCTATAAGCAATATATGAGAATTATTACCTCATTAGTAAATTAGTAACAAGAATCTAGCATCTAAAAAAAGGGAGCTCTGGTGGCTCAGTGAGTAAGAAGTTATGCTGCCAACTTAAAGCTAATGGTCTGAATCCAACAGCTGCTCTACTGAAGAAAGATAAGCAAAATGCTCTTGTACGATTTATAACTTAAAAAGCTAAAGGCTCAGCTATGAGTTGGTTCCAGCTCAACGGCAATGAGTTTGAGAGCTGTTTTTGTTTTGTTTTAGAGAATTTTAAGTAGAGCAAACTAATGAGTTAGAATTCAGTATAATGTGTGTGGATCTTTGTGCACCATGGGTTTTTATTATTTCTATTTTTTCTATTCTAATATTCTCTATATTTCTATGAGAATCTATTGGCTAGAAAACAGTTCATAACTTTGAATTGAGTTTTAAGGAAATAATGAATATACAGTGTCTAGTTGGAGCCCAGTTAAACAGTCTACATTTTCACAAGTTTTTCAGAAAATTTTAATTCTGGTACTACTAGACTATAACTTGATATATTTAACTACTATCCAGTCAATATCATTTAACCATGTATACAGTCTACATACACACACACACATTCACAAATTCCAGTATTCCAACAATCACGTGCATTTAGAATGCATTTTCCGTCCTTTAACCATCAACTACATTAAATAAAATTTGTTTTAAATTATAACTAAAATTTTTCAAATTGAGTATACTTGAATCTGCTGGCTTTAGTTAAATAGTAACACATTAAACACTTAGATATAGGTATGTGACCAACAGAATAAAAGAAAAATGATATTCTTACCTGGTAGTTTCTTTTCTCAGATAATGTATGTCCATCAGTCCTCACCATAGAGTCGTGTCCTTTCCTCACAGTACTGGAGGCAATCAAATAGAACTGTCACTCAAAGGTCGTGTCACAGGAAGGACCGCCCACCAGTTCTCCCTCTAGAGTGGAATTATCCAAAAGCCGTCAAAATTACTAACATGTAATTTACAGTAATACAAATATCCAATGATACATTTTAAAAATAAAACCATTTTAAAAATAAAACCAAAGGTACTTGTTTTGTATGTTGACATACTTTCCTTTTATAAATTTAGATAGTGTTAAATTAGCAGAAATACTTGCAAAAGAAATTATGTATAAAAAATTCTTCCCTCCCACTTTAACTCCACAATTAAAATTATCCATCCCATCACCTATATAAGAAATTGCAGTGAATAAAAATGAATACATCAGCTCAAATTTGGCACATATAAATTTTATTTAAGTAAACATATTCATGTCAACTTTAGAAATAATTCTGATTCAGTCACTGAATTTAAAATGTGTCCCCTTCAAATGCTCTGGGAATTAATACAGTTGCTGATTCAACTTAGCTTGTGAAGTTTACTATAATAAGACAGAAATAAAACAAGTTCTTAAAATAATTAACAGTCACAAACTTAGAAGTTCACAATAAATGTTCATTTCCTTGATGTACTTCTACATCAACTTTCCAATTTTATATATGTCTTTATTAGGTGCTCTCAGGTCAATTATGACTCATAGAAACTTGATGAACAACAGATCTGAACTTTGCCCTAAGGAAAATGATGAAGTTAAAGAACTGAATGAACAGAAGATTTCAAAGAGAAGCTCATGAAGACAATACAAAGTATTATAACAAAATGTGCAAAGAACTGGAATTACAAAAATCAAAACGGAAGATCTCCTTCAGGATTTCTCAAGCTGTAGAAACTGAAGAATAAATTCCAGTCTCAAGTGGCAATATTGAAAGATGCTGTGGATAAGATCTTGAATGATTCAGGAAGCATCAAAAGAAGATGGAAGAAAATGACAGCCACTGTACCAACAAGAATTTGCTGACAAGAAACCATTTCAGGAAGCAGCGTATGATCAAGAACCGACAGTAATAAAGGAAATTCAAGTTGTTCTGAGGGCACTGGCAAAATAGAAGACCCAGAAATTGATGGAATACCAAATGACATATTTCAGCAAACAGATGAAGCACTAAGCCAGGAAATGTGGAGGAGAGCTATCTTACCAACCGAATGGAAAAAATCTGTTATTTATTCCCATTCCCAAGAAAGGGAATTCAATAGAATTTGCAAATTTTTTAATAACATCACTAATATCACATAGAAACAAAATCTTGCTTAAGACTCTCCCAAAACAGCTAGAACAGTACACTGACACTGAACTGCCAGAAATACTATCTGGTTGTTTTTTTTAAAGGGGCTCTGCCAGTAGGGATATCATTTGTGGATGTCAGAAGAATCTTGGCTGAAAGCAAAGTTGCACTATAACCCCAAAGGCACATAGTGTGAATCCACCAGCTACTCCACAGGAGAAAGATGGCCAATCTTTTCCCTTGGGATTAACTTCATCTGAAAATCCACTGGAGAGTCAGCTATGGGTCAGTTCCAACTCAATGTCACACAGCAATCCATAAAGATGTCTTTTAGTGTTCTAACAACTCTGCCAAGCCATTTGACTGTGTGGATTACAATTAATTATGGGTAACTTCGAGACAAATATGAATTCCAGACCAATGCCTGACTGTGTTTATGAAACCTATACCTAGACCAATAAACTTGTCCGAAGAGAGCAAAGCACATGATATAGAATCAAGAAAACAGTGTCACAGATGCATCCTTTCCCTCTACCTTTTCACTCTACATGATAAACCGATCATTTGAGAAGCTGGACTTTATGAAGAAGGATGTGGCAACAGATGACACAACCGTGCTCAACAGAAGTGAGGATTTGAAATGTTTACTGCAGAAAATCAAAGATTATAGCCTTAGTATGTATGATATCTCAGTATCAAGAAATCAAAAATTCTCATCAGTGAACCAAGAAGCAGTATCATGACAGGTGGATAAAAGATCAACATTGTTAACAATTTCATTTTACTTGGATCCAGAGTCAACACCCTTGGTACCAACAGTAAGGAAATCAAAAGATGAGCTGCATTGGGAAAATCAGTTGTCAAGGACCTCTCTAGAGTCCTAATGAGCAGCAATGTTAGTCTAAAGACTGAGGTGTGCCTGGTTCAAGTCATGGTCTTTTCAACTGCTTCATGTATCTAAAAAGTTGTACAATGAGTAAGGATGACAGGAGAATTGATGCCTTTGAATTGTGGTCCTGGAGAAGAATACTGAACATGCCATGGGTTGGCAAGAAAAGAAATGTGTCTGTCCTGAAGAAAGTGAAACCAGGGTGCTCCCTGGAGGCAAACATGATGAAACTTCATCTCACATATTTTGGGCATGTTGTCAAAAAGGGGCAGTCCTTAGAGAAGGACATATTAGCAAAGTCAGAATGTCAGCGCAGAGAGGAAGACCCTTGACGACACAGCTACTATAACAATGGGGTCTGAGGTGTCAGAGATGGTGAGTTTGGCTCAGGATTAGGCAAGGAACAAAGCTACTGTTCATGGGGTTGCTAAGAGTTGTAGTTGACTCGATGGTACATTAACAACAGAATTCACTTGTTTACAAGAGAAAAGAAAAATAATGCTCATTTATAAATATAAACAGAGACAAGTCAGTCCAAAACAACAATGCACTGTGCAATTCAAGCTCAAAAATCACTGAAGCAAAAATGAGTCACCACATATGCTAACACAAAAACTCAAACTGAAAATAAGAGTTAAAAAACTGAAGAGTCTGCAAAGCATCTGTAAATGCAAAGACAAAACTCTCTAAGTTTTAATAGAATATTTACTACCATTCACTGCCATCAAGTTGATTCTGACTTATAACAACCCTCCACTAGGCTTCTAAGGCTGTAAATCTTAACAGGAAGAGACCTCCTTGAGCTGTAAGAGAACTGGAACCAATGGAGACAGCCAGTTAGTAATGCCATCCTACTGACTATGGCATCAGAGCTCTTAAAAATATGAATATTTACTAAAATAATAGCAGAGGGTTGCTATGAGTCGCAAGTGACTAGATGGCACATAACAACACAACAATAATTGAAAATTACAATGAAATTTATAGCAGTATTTTACTATTTAAAAAAATTTATCTTGGGAGGGAAATCAAATACAATTTGTGAGCGTGAATCACTATTTAAAAAGCAATACATAGACATACATAACTGTACAAATAAATTATCATTAAAAAGCAACCTACTAAGGATGACATCAACTATGAGTATTATTGTTAGGTGCTGTCAAGTTCATTCCAATACATAATAATCCAATGTACAATAAGAAGGAGCTCTGGTGGCCTAGTGATAAGGAGCTGCACTGCAATCCTGGAGGCATGTGGTTCAAATCCACCAGCTGCTTTATGGAAGAAAAATGGGCAATCTCCTCCCATGCTATTAAACTGCCTATGAAAACCTGGTAGAGGACCAACTATGAGTCAGTTCCAACTCTACAATACACAACAACATGTACAACAAAACACTGCAAATCAATGGTATGATTGAGCTCCCTGTTGTCAATTCATCTCATTTTTGCTGACCATCAACTTTGCCAAGCCTAAGACCTTTTCCAAAGTACATGAGACAAGGTCTCACCAACCTTGCTTCTAAGCAACATTCTAGCTACACATTTTCCAAGACAAATTAGTTCTTCTAGCAATCTAAGGCTTATATAACAATTCAAACACATTAAGTCTTTGATCTTATTTATTGCCCAACTTTTCCACACATACAGAACTCAAAATACCCGGGGGCTTGGGTATTTTCAGACACACATTAGTCTTTACAGTGACATCCTTTTTCTTTCTATTACTTTAAGAGGTCAGATACAGCTGCTTTATCCAATGCAGCATATCATATGATAGCCTGACTGCTGATTCCAATGCACTGATTATGGGTCCAAGTAAATCCTTGACAACTTCAATTTTTTTTCTCCACTTCTCAAGATGTCGTTTACTGATCCAGCTGCAGGGATTTTTGTTTTGTTTACATTGAGGTAAAAATTCACACTGAAGGCTATAGTTTTTTTATCTTCACCAATAAATACTTTAATCCTTTCACTGTTAGAAAGCAAGTTGTATGTACTATCTGATAAGCACAGATTGTTAATCAATCTTCTTCAAACCCTGCTATCACATTCTTCTTCAGATAACCCACCATGCTGGATTATTTTCTAAGCAATAAGGGAAGTAATACAACTTTATACTTAGGAATAAAGATACAATTTCGACTGGCACACATAATTCCTGATTTTCAAGCATATAGGATCCTTTGCTCTGTTGGAATGACTGCTTCCTAGGTCTATATACAAGTTCCTCTAGTGTACAATTGCGTGTTTTAAAATTTGAGTTCTTTGCAGTGTTATCTGTAATTTGGTATGCTGCGTTCAGGTGAATTATCCGTATAGTTTAAAAATAATAAACAAAGGTAAACATTTTCCAATATTATCTCCTTTCAGTCAACAAGCATTCAACATGAATCTCAAATGATGTCATTTCAATGAATCTACTTTGAATTTGAGGGTTCTCTTTCAATGCATTGCTGCAATCCTTAATTGTCTTCAGCAAAATTTTATTTGCACTGATATTAGTAACATTTGGCAAATTCTACATTTACTTGACTCATTCATCACTATAATACCCTATAAAAGATGATTTACATGAGAATAAATGGTCAGTAATTATCCTAAAGCAAAAATGAGAAGAAGAGTGGTCACAGGAAATGCAGTTACAGAAAACAGGACAATCAAAACAGGAGAGAACAGGGTTCGGGTCTGTTGTTCACCGGGTCGTTATGATCTGTACTGAACTCAGCAGCACCCAAAACCAGCAAACAGAATTCATGAGAATACTGACAGACTATGAGACATATAATCAATGACATGGAATAACTTGTGTAGAAACTGTTAAATGGGAACATAATTTGTTGTGTAAACACTCACCAAAACCCAACAAAGTATTATTTCAGTAAAAAAAAAATAAATAAAAAAGGTTGGTTGTTTTGG